TTCCTTCTTTTCTCCTCTTAGCCTCCCTCCTCTTCTTACCTTCCTTCCTTCCTCTCTGTTCTCTCTCTTCCTTTCCTTTCCCTCTCTTTTTATTCCTTCCTTCCTTCTTTTCTCCTCTTAGCCTCCCTCCTCTTCTTACCTTCCTTCCTTCCTCTCTGTTCTCTCTCTTCCTTTCCTTTCCCTCTCTTTTTATTCCTTCCTTCCTTCTTTTCTCCTCTTAGCCTCCCTCCTCTTCTTACCTTCCTTCCTTCCTCTCTGTTCTCTCTCTTCCTTTCCTTTCCCTGTCTTTTCTTTCTTTCTTTCTTTCCTTCCTTCCTTCCCTCCCTCTGTGTGTCTCTTCCTTTCTCTTTCTCTCTTCCTTTCTTTCCCTGTCTTTTCCTTCCTTCCTTCTCTCCTCCTCTTAGCCTTCCTCCTCCCTTCTCTTCTTACCTTCCTTCCTTCCTCTGTTCTCTCTCTTCCTTTCCTTTCCCTCTCTTTTTATTCCTTCCTTCCTTCTTTTCTCCTCTTCTTAGCCTCCCTCCTCCCTTCTCTTTTTACCTTCCTTCCTCTCTGTTCTCTCTCTTCCTTTCCTTTCCCTCTGTCTTCCCTTCCCTTCCTTCTTTCCTTCTTTTCTTAGCCTCCCTCCTCCCTTCTTTCCTTCCCTCCTTCCTCTCTGTTCTCTCTCTTCCCTTCCTTTCCCTCTGTCTTCCCTTCCTTCCTTCTTTCCTCCTCTTCTTAGTCTCCCTCCTCCCTTCTCTTTTTACCTTCCTTCCTTCCTTCCTCTGTTCTCTCTCTTCCTTTCCTTTTCCTGTCTTTTCTTTCCTCCCTCCCTCCTTCTGATATGGCTGCCCATTTTATGGAATGACAACCCCATCACCCCCAAGCCATAAAACCAGGACAAACCTCCCCAGACCCCTATATATATCCCCATAGAATTTCCCTGCGTCCAGCCTCAGCCGCCTCTTCCCCAGCCCCCTCCTTGCCAGCAACTGGCAAACCCCCTCCGGTGATCAGCCCCGCCTAACCTGCTCTCCATCTCTGGCTGAGGTTTTTGCTGTTCCTCCGGCGGGTGGCCTTGTGGCTCAGCTGCATTGCCTTTGGAGGGCCCAGCCCTTTCTCTCGCCAGCTCCTGCAGCACAATCAGACATCATCCTGTGAGCGAAAGGCCTGGCCTACCATTTTCTCATTCAATGACTTACAAATGCACTGACAAAAGTCTCTTTCTCAGAGTTACGACCGTCAGAGCCACACAATTGAAATTCAGACTCATGTTTACGACGGCTGCCGGATCCCCTTTTGCAAACCTCCGTCAACGGGGCAAGCCAGATCCACTTAACGACCATGTTATGACTCACTTACCAACAAGGAAGGAAGATCATTACACGGGGCCAAATTTACTTAAAACCTATCTGGCTTAGCAACAGAAATTTTGGGGGCTCAGTAGTAGTCGCAAGCCGAGGACTAGTGCCCACCAGCTGCCAGCAGAGCTGGCAGCAGAGTCGGACAGTGAGGAGGTTGGGGAAGAGCATGGGCCATGTTCCTAGAGGCTGGGGAAGGCTTGGACGAGGGCTCGGCAGAGAGGGGGCCAAGGCCGTCTGGCAGTTCTCAGCTGCCTTCGGAGCTAGACAGCAGTGAGGCAGAGGAACAGGTGGAGCCTGTTCCCAGTGTGAGCTGCCAGAAGAAAAGAACAGCTCAGAAATCAGGGTCGACTTGGGAGTAAGGCCACAGGAGGACGGTGAATGGCCCCTCCCAGAGGACATAAAAGAGGAAGGAAAGGGGAGGGTTTTTTTGCAGGAGACAATTGGTTTCTTCGTTCATTTGTTTCAGGAGTGTGAAGATCTGTCCCTGAACCTCAGAGACTCTGTGCCCAGAGTCTTTCCTTGCATTTGGACAATATTTACATG